GTGAAGTATCGGATTACCACAGCCACTCATGGGAGTCATTTCTTTCTTTGAGTTATGTACCACTCAGCTATTCTACCTCATATTAAATATATGTCTGTCTTACCTACTTGAGAGAGCAGTTCTTTGTATTCACCATGGCACTTACTCTGGGGTTATTTTCTTGGAATTATACCTAGCCAGAAACTTTTTTTTCCAGTGCATACATGGTATGCTTGAGATAGTTACCTTGTGTCTAAGGGTAACCAATGACTTGGTGTGTTGGCTGCTTTGGATCTGTCAGTACAAATTAGGGCTAGTTCTCGAACTTTAGCTTGCATAATAATCGCCTGAAAAACATTGAAACTGATTTCTGAGTCCTACTGCTAGAGATTAATTCAGTGGGTTTGGAGTGGAATCTGAGACTTTGTATTTCTAATTAGCTCCCAGGTGATGGTTATGTGGCTGTTATATGGACCACACTTTGAGTAATACTACTGTGCTGCACTAATCCTGTCTAATCCCACCTGGATTTCCAATACAAGAAAGCTTTCCTTATCAGTTTAAAAGGGGGTATAAAAGCTATTACCATTGGCTGCAACATTTGGTTAGTGGTTTTCTTTTCTATGCATAGAGGAAGTATTGTTTTTACTCCTGAGTTCTGCATCCTTTAATTCACTTTCCTTAAAAGCCCTCCTAGTTATTGCAAAAGATTCTTTAAATTTTTCATTTTACTTATAATAAGTAATGTCATTTTGCCCAAGTAGCATTTACTTCGAATATCATTCAGATTCTCTCCCTCACTAAGTATATTAAGATTACAAAGTGATAAATAAATATTATTCATAATAGTTTATATTGTAGCAAAATACATTATTAGCAAATACCTTTTAGATTGTTTTCAACTCTTAGTAGTTGCAAATTTTAATTTGATGTTCTTTGCATTTTTAACTCTGAGGAGTTGGGTTTTTTTAATATAATGATGAGGTATTGATCATTTAAGAATATTTTCAGGAAAATATGTTGTAAGAAAATACACAGGTAAAGTGAAATGTAAGATAAAAATATTGAATTAAACAAAGATGGCTAATAGAATTTTATCATTTAGATCAGAAACTTTTATTCAAAACTAAGCACAGACTTGAAATATGGTCATAAAATTAATATGACTTATTGGGTAATAAAATCTCATTTGTCTCCTATCTCTCCAGCTCTCATAGCAACCATCCAAGTAAACGGTTTTATATTTTTAAGAAGCATTGTGGAACTCTCAGGTAACTAGTTGACCTTTTTCCATTCCATTTTTATTGAAAAATTATAGTAACTTTTTTTAACCTGATGCTGCAGTGCCTAGTTTGGAAAATAAAATGATATTGCTACTAGACATAATAGAGTTCTGTTCATTATATCCTTAGATCAAAGAGGGGATAGCCTATATTCTCTGGCTAAACTTGTTTCAGTTATGTTAGGCATTAAGATGAAACTTTCATGGACTCGCATGAAAAAATAAGGCTTTCCAACAATATTTGAATATTAAAAAGTTTAAGATACCTAGTAAAGTGAGTAACACTTTTTTTGGTTTTGATCAATATATAGCTTCATGATTTGTAAGGTTTTTTTCTTTCTGAAGTAAAAGTATATAACTTGTTTACTGTAAAGAAAGAATTGTTGATGAACATTTCTAAAGGTACTGATAATTAACTTGGTTATACCACACACACTTAGCTCAGAATCTACTAAGCATTATTTTTTTCACGTTCTTCTGATTCCTTTTGACTCCGCCTTCCTTTGTTTAATTTTTTAGCTCATGTTGTCATTGCTGTTTGACATATTAAAGATCTGTGTAGCACCATGCTAAGACATAGACTTAAGTTTAGCCAATATTTGTTTTGATGTTCTATGTAAGTGGAAAAGTAGAAGAGAGGCTATTCCCCACATATCTACATGGCTAACTCCCTGCAGGTTCCTACTCCAATGAGTGAAGCTTTCCTTGACCAGTCTATTTAAAATATCATTTTTTTCCCTTAGGCCCCACCCCAGCACTTCCTATTTTCTTGTCTTGCTTTATTTTTCTTCATGGCAGCTTTTTACTGACATATTATATATTTCACCCTTTTGTTCATTGCCTGTGTCTTCTCACTAGAATGTGTGTGGTTCAGACATTTGCTGGACATTGAATAGTGCCTGGCACATGGAAGGCACTCCATAAATATTTGTCAAGTAAATTAATGTTGATGTTGAAAATGACATATGTGGATGACATTGGACCAGCAGCTTATAGGCAGAGGGAAGTTTGGTTATATTTTAAAAATATATTGGAACTCTTTTTAAAATATTAACTAAAGTCAAAGTATTTGGAAAAAATGAGCTTTATTAGGTATTACGTTTACTGAAAATTTTTTATAAGAATGAAAGAGGATTTTTTAATTCTAAAGATGAGATCTAATTTGATTTTTACTGACTGTTGTCAAGCTTAGTTGTATGCTTGGTTCTTAAATTAATTGTATGACTTTGAAGATTTGAAATGCTTTTTTCCAACTTGGATGGGTCTCAAATTTAAATAGAAAATTGGTTAATTTCTGCGTATGGTATTTAGTATATTTATAATTCTATGGAACATTAAATTTTGTAATTACTAGTTTGTTAAAATGCAGTGTTCATTCTTTAGCTATTTATTGTGTAACTATCATGTATAACAATGTAGCAAGTCCTGTAAAGATGACAGTGATGAAGAAGGTATGGTACCAACCTTCAAGGAATGTATGATTCGTGATAAGATGTGAACATAAATAACTACAGTAATACAAGGAGGTTTGTAATAAGTGCCATGAGAGTTACTGATTTCAAAGAAAGGTTTCTACTTAAAAATAGAGGCACAGGGGCATTCTAGTTGGAAGAAATAGCATGAATAAAAATGCATAAAGGAAAAAAGGTATACACAGTGAATGACTAGTAGTACATTTTGGATGGAGCATGAAGTTCGTGTAAGAGTATTGAGATCAAAGTCTGGGGAAATAATTTTGAGATTAGATCCAGATTGTGGAATCCTTGAAAAAGGCTAGGGAATTTAGACTTAATTTTATTTTGCAGACATTGGGGAAACTATTGGTGTTTTGTGCAGAAAGATCAATTTGGAAGGGTATACAGGTGAGTTGTAGCTGTATGAGGCACATAGACTGGTTAAGACTATTATGGTAGGTAAGACTGATTTAATAAGAACCTAGGTTAAGGTGGTAAGGTGGTATTATATCATGTTTAAAAACATGGGCTCTGGAATCAAAGGGCTGAGTTTCAAACCTGGTCCTGGTTTTGGTAGGTTCCTAAACTGACCCTGCCTTCTTTAAAAAAAAAAAAAAAAGTTATAGTATCTACTTCTTTAGCTTGTTATATAAGACTTAGAAGAGATGATATGTTTAAAACCTTTAGCTTGATGCAGTAAGTGCTCGATAAATTGTTGATGTTATAAAATGTTTGAAATATTGACTGTTTTAAGGAAAAAGAGAGAAAATACTAAAATTTTGAGCCTTTGTGTCAGGGACATGTCCTCAGAAGAGAAACCATTCAAGAGGTGTGATTTTTATGGGGTGGGGAGGAAAGCACATGACTTTAGTTTTATGAAGGTCATTTTTGATGTGCCAGCATGACACCCAGATGTAAATACACAACAAATTGTTAAGACTAGAGCTGCAGGGGAGAAGTCAGTCTAAGGTATGCTACTGGTTTTTATTCCTATACAGGTGAAATACTTAAAGTATTTAAATTTAAAATGAACTGCAAAAGTACATTTTTGCTGTGTTAATAAGCTGATAATAACAATAGTTACATTATTTTAATGATTTCTTTTTAAAGCCTTCCATTTCTTTTCTGATTTTATTGTCATTTAAATAAGATTTCAAATTGTAAACTCCACAGAGTGTACCCTTTTGTTCGCTCTTGTATCTATAACACCTAGTGTAGTACATAGTGTATAAAGAAGGTCACCAGCAAATGTATATTGAATGAATGGGCAAAGGCACAGAAAGATTGTGCTTTGCACAAGTTCCATAAGTTGTTAGTGGAACCACAAGTGAGCTTTAGGTCTCTTCGCTCCTCTGTTTTAGCAACCAGTGTGAAAGGGAACAGTTTATAAAGCACAAAATATTAGCATAACAGGCATGGATATGCCATTTTCTAAAGCACCATTTCAGCTATATCAGCCTTATATAACAAAATTGAACAGTGATGGTCATGATGCATAAAAAGCAAATCAAATTATTACATAGAAAAATAATTATTGAACCTATATATAGATTTTCATTAAAGATAAAAATCTTTTCTTTCTGTCTTTCTTTTCATAGGGGCATTACTCTAGTGTGCCTTAAATGTGATTTCTTAACTGATTCTTCCGGTTTAGATCGTATGGCTAAACACTTAAGTCAACGCAAAACTCATACTTGCCAAGTTATAGTAGAAAATGGTATGTATGTATAATTGTGTTACTTTGATTTTCTGATATTTATTCCAGTATTATTTATCAGCCACATATGGGTTCTCAATTGTATTAAATTAGTAGTCTCACTCATATATGCTATTTTAAATGTAAAACTCTTCTAATTTCAGTTCCCAAAAGTACCTCAGCTTCTGAACCCACTTCTGAGTAAGTTTAATTTTTATTCAGCGCATTATTCTTTGATGGATTTTATTAGCACTGTTGCATATTTTTAATGTGTCATTAATAGAAATGAAAAATATTAAAGTATTTTGTTTTTGTTTTTGTTTTTAAAGCTACTTGGTGAAATAGATTCCTGCTCTATGGAGCTCGTGCAACCTGGTACAAAACAAGTTGGAATTTCCTAAGTTCAAAGTTCTGAAGTAGTTTCTTACACAGAGAAAGTTTCCTAAGTTCAAAGTTCTGAAGTGTTTTCTCACACAAAAATGGTTAAATAACCAAGTTCATGACACTAGTTCTTATTATTCAGCTCTTTTCAGCTTTCAGATGGCACTAGATTCTTATTCCACCTTATCTTTGTGTCAGATTCACATATCCTAACATGTGCTTTTTTGCTCCAGTTAGTTTTCTCCAAAAATAACTTTGTTTGCTATGGTTTTTCTTGCTTTGTTTAAAATAACTTGTGTTTATCTCTGCTGTACTTGCCTCCAGAATATTGCATTCCAAACATTATAGCTATTCATCTTTTTTTCTTTTTGTCTGTTTTGTCTGGTTTCTTAGTTAATTTCGTGTAAGTCTTACATTTTTAGATCAGATAGCTATCTTTTTTCTCATTCCTTGTCTGTCATTGTTCTATTTTTCATATTTTTCAGATGCAGAAGTAACAGAAATTTCAAAAAATGTCCAGGGTACTCCTGGTCAGTGTCCCGCTGCGTTGGACACAACTGATGCCTGTTCTCTCTTTCCAAGGAATGTAAATTATTTGACTGTGAGACCTCCTCTAGTTTGTGGCCTTAGGAAATCAGATCTTGGGGAGAGTCCCTTCCTTCGTGACTGGCCTTCCATAAGGCTGATGCTAATTTAGCCAGAGATGACCTCAAGGCCCACCAAATTGAGCACAACTTCCCACTGGGGGCTTTGGTTCTTGATCTTAAGCTTATGGGCCAATTCTGACCAAGAAAGCCCATCAAATCAATGCTTTATCACCCAAATTTAAGTTTAATCATTTTGGCTGCCGCCTTTTAGCATGCATGCAGTCCAAAGAATATAAAATGGCTGTGTA